GCTGGTCAAGAGAGCTAGATAAAACAAACCCTGCAGCTGCAGCAGCAAGTGCTGCCCACTGCTTGTCCTATGAAGATTGCACGCATCTTCTGATCTCCTGTCAGCTTCTCTACTCCTGCAGTGATGGCACTGGCTTCATTTTTTTAAATAGTTTTTAAAATAATGATGGTCATGGTCCTTGATTAGCCCTGGATGTCTATACAGCTTTGATGGCAATGGAAGTTCTTTAGCTGGGTTGTCTTGTCTTCTGATCTTTGCTATACTCACTCCTGCTTTTGGCAGCTTGCGTGGGGGTCGCTGTGCACCAACAGTGGCAGAGCTCTTGTTTCCCACTGCTGAAGGTGACCAAAAATGTTTTGTTCGTCAGTTAGGAAATCACTTTAAGGAGATCAGTGTAATGAGATTCTGAAGCCATATGGCACTGGAATTAGTGCCTTCTAGTGCAGTAACTGCATGCTGTAATTGCAACAATGCTGTATGCTAAAAGTAATGTCAAGAGCAGACTTATTTTTTCCTCTGCTCATTCTTTTAACTCCTTGGGGTTTAAAACAATGCCTGGGATGTAGCCCTTTTATTAAAAAAGGAGGGGGTATGGGCTAGAATCCTGGTCTGCTTTTTATTAGTTGGAAGGAAATAAATGGAAGTTAATAGAAAAGACCTGTTTCTTTTTCCCAGCTGAACAGTGGAATGGATGTTACCTGTAACAGCACTAAGTGTGCTCTGAAAATACACCTTCGGGTCAAGCTGCTGAAATGCCTTGTGGCTTATCAGATTCATGATCTGGGTGGGGGGGAAGGCAGAAAGAAGGTCACAGAGGTATATGCAAAAGGAATGGTGTGTTTCAGTGTAGCTATCAAAGAACAGTTCAAACTTTAGATAAAACAGCACATAAAATATAGGAAAAAGTGAAGCTGGGGTTTTGGGAATGAAATATGGATTTTTTTTGTTTTAGCTTCTATGTTTTTCAATCTTAAAGTTGCACTGGATTTAGATTGTTTATTTCTCAACCTTGTAGAATACTCTACATAGGTGGGGGAAGTTGCTGGTCTTCATAGATAAATATCTCCCACTGATCTCACTGTTGGTTTTTGGTTGGTTCGTTGGGGTTTTTTTTAATCATTGGTGGATAGGAGGGGCAATTTTTTAGTCTCATCTACTAAACTTTCTTGATGGTTCTTTCCCCTCAATTGTTTTAATGACAGTGTGAGGTAAGTTGCAAACAGGGAGTGTTTTGCAGTATTTTCTACCTGCCTCATTTACACCTGCAGCAGGAGCAGATTTGTCTCCTTCCTTCCTCTGACACATAAATGCTGTTCCCAAACAAGGTTCCTGACTCCTCACAAGAAATTGTGTGTATTGTACCCAGCGTCATTGAGCTCCAGCGCATTTGTTGCATGTTTCATGTTTAACAGTGATACTACCCATTGGAGCATGGCTTTTTGGGGCAGAAGCATATTATTTTACAAGAAGAGATATGAGGCTTAAACTGATTTAGCTGAATTGACTTTAAATTTGTGGCAATCCTCTGGTCATACAGTAAGGACAGCAAGCACCTTCCAACAAGTTCAAATTCTGGGGTGAGCTGATATTTCTGATTAAATTAGGAAATAGTACAGTTCCTCAGGCTATTTTAGTTAATGGTACCTGAGGATATCTGGTTGGTTGCTTGTTGGTTTTTGGTTGTTTGTTTTGTGCTTATTTGGTTGTGGGTGTTCTGTTGTGTTGTTGTTTTTTGTTTGGTTTGGTTTTTGTTTGGTTGTTTTCTTTTTTTTTCTCATGACACTTTTTTGCATTTATTTACATGCTTATTCATTGACAGACCAAGCCAGCTGATGTTGCTAGGCAATGCTGGCAATTCATGAGCAGAAAATGTCCTCTTCCTTAGCTTTCACAAGCATTTTGCTACAGTTCTCTGGAGCAGTAGGAAGTAACTCCCTTCCATTCTGTTACCTGTTTTCTATGGAGAAGACCAAAGGAAGCACACTTGGCATTTTCTGTACCTGCTCCTTCCACTGTACTCTTGCCCGTGCAAAGAATGGTAACTTGCTTTCAGTCAAACTGCTACCTTTTAGCTAACAGAGGAAAATGGTGAGGAATCAATTATCCTCACTGTGAGTATGTTTGGTAACATGTTACATAAAAGCAAACCCAGCCTCTGCAGCAGCTCCTGTGCAGATACACCCAGTGCAGGACAGAGGAGGTAGCTGTGTGGTAGGAAACAGTGGAGGTCCCTAATGCTCCCATGTCAGAGGCTTCCCAAACGTGTCAAGAGCTAGCCTAGCTGCCTGTGAAATACGAATGAAATGAAACTTAGAGGATAATAAACAGAACCTTTTCTTCCATCCATCTTGGTCTTTGCAGCACAGTACTCTGTTCCTGAGGGAAACCTTATGTGCCCTGTTGCTGAATGTATAGCAGCTACAGTCAGCTGCTTTTTTGTCTGGAGCTGGGTGGTGGCAGTGGTACCCCAGGCATCAGAGATGTGTATTTAGGATTATAACGGATCAGTGTTTCCTAGGGAAAGAAATAGATGGCTTTCCTGCTGTATGCTGTGGCTCCCTGTGCTCCAGAATCTCACACCTAGGGCAGATTTCCTGCATCCCATTTCTGGCATCAAGTCTCCCCCTTGGAACATGAGTGTCTCACAGATCCTCCTGTTGCTAAGCCACGTGGGTACCGGTGGGAACAGCATATGCAAGGGAGGGTGGCAGACAGAAGTGTATTGGCACAAATGCTGGGTTTTCCCCCATTGTGTACCTATATATGTGCAAGGTTGAAGTGCAATTCTTCTGTGTATGCCAGATACACCCATGAACATATTGTCAGAAAAGCTTATGTTCTAAGGTACGTCATGATGCCTGTGTGTGGAAGGACACCTTGAGCCTAATGAAAGAGGATGGGCGAAAGGCTTTAAATGTTGGGTTATGTTTCTAGTTTTCTTATCTCATGATGACAGTTTTCTACAAATTAATTCTGCCTTCTGTGCCGCTGCTCCCCCTATCTGCAAAATATTGCAGTCCCCTGGGGATTTCTCTAAGGAAAGTCTAATAAATATTTTACAAATGCTAATGAATCAGGTCACCCAACAGCTCAGTACATCATTGTCCTCACTTTGCAGGCAGATTTTGGGAAAGGCAAGAAGCAGAAGGGTAACCAGCTTCATGCCACGCAGCAAATTTTTGGGGTAAGGGAGCTGGGTTAGGGAGCTGAAACAGCTTGCTGTGTGGTTGGGGAGCAGTGGAGCTGGCAAGGGGGAAGCTGCAGAAGTGCGGCACGGGGAAGAAGTAAGGCTGAGCTGACTTCTGTGTGGTTCAGATTACAGACATTCATGCCTGTCCGTCTGCTTATTCACTATTTTAATAATGGCATCATGTGAGGCTTTTTCTGCTGAGCATCTCTGTCCCCTCTAGTTCATTCTCCTATCTGCATTAATTAGGCTTTTCCTTTTCCACTCCATGTCTAGGGATCAGAGGTGATGTGAGAGGGCCATGAGCTGAACGACACGGGGTGCAGCTATGTAAAGTGCCTGAGGCAGAGGATGGCAAAGGCTTTCCTGGCCTGTGTATAAGTCCTTTGCAGGAAGCTTGTTCTGTGCTCAGGTCCCTGCAGTTCAGCTCTGGGTTGCCCCTCAGCCCTGTTTCATTGGGTTCTCATTATATTCTTTGCACTGTCACCAGTGCTGGCCTTGTGCCTGTTCATGTGTCTCCTGTGCAGTCCCTCCTGACCCCAGGGAAGGCTCCTTTTTATGTCACTGCATCAGGATTGAGTGCTCTCTGCACTCAGTTCCCCACCTACTAGTTTCTTCGCTAGTTTGCTCTCTGATCAGTGATTTGTATTACGGTAATTGTTAGAAGGGAGAAATGCCAACTTAAATATGCAGCACCTTCAAAGAGAGATTTCTAAATGTATGTTTCAGATTTCTCATTTTGGTGTCAGACTGATGGATCCAACTTCTTTTAAAAAAAAAACTTGGGGCCGGTGTTGTACAGCTAGCAGAGCATGTCTGCCAGCAATATTTCCCTTTTGTCCTCGTTCATTTAGATTATCAGATCTTGGAGCAGGGACGGTGCACAGCAGCAGAGGGCTTTTCTGTACAGTTGCAGCCTCCCAGTACCACTGCCAGATGTATGAGTAATTGGTTGAGCAGCTCTGCAGAGCAGTCTCCTTGCACCGTCCACACTGAAATGCAGAAGTAAAAAAAACCCCATCATTCTCAGTGATGAAGAATCATGTGCTCAAAAGGGATCAAAATCATGAAGAGAAACCTTTTCTTAAAGAAAAATTCTTTGTGAACATATCTGGCATGCTCTTTAAGAGACATTCTGTGATCTTGCGACGTGCTTCTGGGATCTTCTCTCTTCATTGTCGCTTATAAGATAGCTTTAAATTAATGATAAGGAAGCCATTCAGGGCATGAGCTCTGCTGAGGTTCACAGCTTTCATTCTGAATGAGAGAATATAGTAAACTGATATTGAAAGCAAGGAGGGCGAAACAAACACAGCCAGTAAGCCTATAAAAGTCTTAGCCAATTGCAATGGCGAACATCCTGCTGGCAAGGGTGACCTTGAATGAACTAAGTGGGATAAAGTCACCAGCCTGGACTGACGGCTGAAGAATCAGGCTGGATTCCAGCAAACTGAGAGAACAGATTCCTGACAAGAGTCTCCTGAGCTGTGGCAATGGCTTCTCGGTGTCGGAAATGTGGACAACAGGTGCCCAGGAATCCGCCTTTCACTGCTGTCCGAATAACAGAAGGAGAAATGAAATCTTACCATGATTTTATAGGAGGATGCATTAGGCTGGAGCGCATGGCAAAGAAAGGTATGTGCAGCATCTTTAAAAGAAATAGCATCTTCTCTTAGTGGTAGCTGCATTGTGTTCCTAGGAGATTTGCAAATAGATGTTATTTTTCTGACGCTTTCTCTGAGAATTCAGTGATAAATAAAGACAACTGGCTGATCTGGATATTAACTCAGGCACGAGTGCATCATTTGACCTGGCTGTATATTTCTGGGGTATTTGCCGTGATTTGACCTAGAGGAGCTTAAAATGAATGCCAGACTAATTTGGAATAAATGTTTATTTCACTCAGGTGTTAGACACTGAGGTTTCTGTGTATGTCTGGAGCAGGTGTTTGCTGTGCATGCAAAATACCTTTTAGAAATGAATGCAAGGGGATGGGGCAGTGGGTATCATGACCCAGTTGACCCTGTCACCCTGTGCACCTAAATTACTATGTACAAGATCAAGATCTTTCTCACTGTAAAGATTCTGGTTTCACTGTACTCAGAAACTGGGACTATCGAGTATTTGGTGCTGTGAGTCAGTCTGGCTACAGGGCAGTGTTCCACTCTGAGTGGGCTGCTCATATAAGATGCTGGCATCTTGGCAATTTGTTCTAATTGCATGTTAACTCTGAGGTGGAGTGATGGTAGTCGACCCCTAGGCTGTTGACTAGTTACATATCAAGATTGCTGAATCATAGAGCACTTTTTCTTTAGTGTCATTTGAGAGAAAGATTAATCAAGGAGCTATTTGGTTTAATTTCTTCTTTTAACTTGAATAAACATTTAGCAAACCTCAAATCCAGAAATTTATAACAAATTCACCTGTATGTGAAAAAAAAAAAGATCCCCAAAAGCACGTGATATGAATGTATTGAATTGTTTATTATGATTCAGTTAGCTCTTTAGCAAAGAGTTTCTTCCAATCTGATAAATCGAGAATATTCGGCAGAAAAAGAAGTGAACCAGAAGCAGGTCATCTGCTGGCAGCTGCTGCTTACAAACTGGGGTTTGCAGATGCTTTCTTTAGTAGGGCTCTAATGCACAATGCCAGGGTTTGAAAACTGCAAAGCCAGTCCATTGTACCTCTGCTTTTGTGGGCCATCTATCCGTGCTGATTTTTGGGCTCAGCGCCTACCTATGCGTTGTAGTTTTTGGCTGACCTCTCGATAACACTGATGTTTCCAGTTGCACTCTTTGTAATGACGCATTCAGAGTTCAGCATAGCATGGCAGAAATGTCTGTTGTCTGAGTAAAAGACAGAACAGAATTAATTGAAATTCCTTCCTGAACCTTTGATCGGGTGCTTCCAGGTTGCTTATAGCTCTGGGGGCCTGTGGGACTGCTGGAAGCAGAGCTCAGGCATCTGTTGTTCTTCCTGCAGGTAGACAGGGGAAGACACTGACTGGTGAGAGCTTTGCCATGGTTACTGTTCCCAGGGAAACACCTTCCCTGCCTCTCATGTTGAGAGATGACCTGGCATAATGTTATGGGTGGAAATTCCTTGGAAAATAATTTCTGATAGACACCAGATAGTGTATAGACTAGTCTGAGCCTGTTGCAGTTTTGTGAGGCGGAAAGCATCTTTGCTGCTTTTTGTTTTTAAACTCACCCAAAGAAGCCACAGGAGGGGCAAAAATGAGGTTATCGCTAGGGTCAAGGTGCCTTCAGGTGCATGTGTTAGAGCTGGGTGAGCTGTGAGAATACACCAGTGACAACTCTGCCTGCGGTGACCATGCTAGAAAGGGGCCAAGAAGCTGGCAAGGCGACACAGGAATTCGTAACACCACCACTGCCTGGGTTCCCTTCTCCTGCTCTGAACTGACTCTGTACTCATCCCTTGTCTTGTTTTGGCCTTAGTTTTCTTACCTGTAAGGTAGAAGCAGTGGGAATTACCTGCCTCCATAGTGAATCCTGATGATGTAGCTATGACTATCCTTTGGAGATTAGACCAGTTACCATTTGCTGTAGGTGCTGCATAAGCACAGGGGAAGAAAGATGATCTGTCCCAGAGATCTTGGGCTCTGCCTGCCCTATCTTGCAGTCCTTTGCTACTAGAAAAGACTCGTTGACAAACCGTAGGGATGGAGGTATTCCTGTTTGTCTGAACACAGTGGCAATGCAGGACTAGGGATGGAGGTATTCCTGTTTCTCTGTCTGAACACAGTGGCAATGCAGGAATGTGGGTCTCTGTGGTGTGTGCTGACTTGACTCTCACTTTGGGGTGCCCTTTCTGTAATGTAAAGATCCAGCTGAAGTGTTGCTGAGGGCTAATTGGCAAATACTTGCTCAGTACTTCAGGCACTCCTGAAGTATGAAGCTTTTTTTCATGTACAGGACACATCTGTGGAGCCCTGGGTATATTCTGTGGCAATTTTCTCTCTTGTACTAAGTATCATAACAGAAGAGATGGAAGGCACACAGGTTACTACAGCAGAAATAGAGGCTGCATGGTTGCAGCCAAGCCTGCAGGTACCTTACCTTTGATCAGCAGTGCCCCGTAGCAAGCAGCACTGAGCCAAGTTAATCCAGTTCCTGGATCATGCAAGTTCAAGGTTTCCTTTGAATCCATGGGATTTGTTTTGATGGGTGGTTAAAAGTGTGGTTGTAGTGTCTTGTTCATGCAAAGAGATGAAAATAGTGGCTGCTTACAAAAAGAAAGTGCTGCTGTGAGGTAGCAGTTGAAGGGCAGTTCTCCTATGGCCACATGATGCCTCTGAGCTCCAAAGCCCTAGCTCCCTGCAACAGGCAGAGGAAGCACCTGGCTGTTTGAGCTGGCCTACAGATGCTGAAGTCCTCTCTGGGGTCTGCAGTGCAAATGGTACTATTTTGAGTACCGGTATGTGACCTTGAGACCCTCTGGGAGCTGCAGGTCCAAGGTGCTATAACTGACAACCAGGGGGAAGGAACCTCCAGAAAGCCAGGTGAGAAATATGGGAGAGGCTCCAGTCCAGAGCTGATCCTCTTTGTATTGCTCTTGGTTCATCACAAGAGAGACACTGAAGCTGAAAGCAAAGCATAGCCTCTTGTCATTAAATACATCATTCTTGGAGAGTGGCTCATGTGCCTGTTCAGCACTGACATGACTGTTCACGTCACTCAGCTGCCAGTTCCCATCTCTTATGCTTGAGGACACCTCCTGCCAAAATGGCCCCCTCTGTCCCCAAATGCTCTTCATTAGTCAGCCTCACTGTGATGCTTGAGCCCTCGAATAGGACCACACAGGGCTTAACATGGATGGATGAGCATTGGCTGGTTAGACTATGTTTCTGCATGCTGTGGAGCCTGAGGCTGCATGCAGATTATATATTTTTAGGTGAATAAATGTGTTGAACTCCATGAGGTTGGCACTCCATGAGGGTGTTTTTATCTGTGCCCAAGGCTGGTGACTGTGTAAAACAGCATAATGAATCTGCAGACACTAAGGAGCATGCAGTTCATTACTGAGGCTATTCAGGACTTTGCTGTTGCTGCAAAATCAGGCAAGATCCTCCTAGCCAATAGGATGGGGATGTGTCTCTTGCACCGACAGAGTATTTCTGATTTTGCCCTTCTGTAGGACAGAGAAATGCTGCAGTTCTGTCTGTCCAGCAATCATGGTCATTTGTTCTTGGTCCTACTGCTGTGTCTCTCTTACTGCTGGAAATGACAAGCAGCTCTTCAGATCTATCTGTTCGGGGTGGGGAAAGGGACCGAAGTATTGGATATGGCTTTACAGCAGTTAAGGGTTTAATGCTAGAAAACAGCTTCTATGATGCTGTCTACAGAAGGAAATCCCATCTGAATGAGACCAGGCTGAAATTTCTTGGACCTTTTGGAGCTTCTCCACCTTCAATAATGAAATAAATGAGAAATACTTTCCTTTTTCACATGGCTGACCATTCTACAAAGGTGCTGGTTATTGGGGAAAGGGACGCTTTCATGTAAAGACTTACATCTGCAGTCTAAGTTGAAGGTATTTCTCAACCCCTTGAGTCAGTCACAGTGCCGCTTCGTGCATTGCTCAGTGTTTTTCTTGGTTTATTTGCATTCAGTATCTATTTTCCTCTTTAGTGTAAAATGCTACCTAGGGAACCTGGGATATTTTTTTCAGCCAGCTTGCGCTGCAAAGAAAATTGCTAAAATAAAATATTGTTTCCATAGAGGTTTTTCTAGGAAAAGATCCTTGTCTTAGATGTTTGTGTCTCTTTTCACCTGATCGCATTGATATGCAGTCTGCTCTGCTGCTATTGAACAGTGCTGAACCTTGTTTACCTAATCAGAACCGTCCAGAGAATGGAGATGAAAATAGGGAAGGCAAAGCTTGATTTCCATTTAAAAAGAGTTTTGAGAGATAAGTAGTACTGAGAAGATCAAGAGAACAAATTCTCAGAGGGCAAGTTACAGCAGAGGCCTTCTGGGTATTTTATGTTTTTCTCTTCCTCCCATGATACCAGAACAAGCAACAACTCAGTGAAATGGAAAAGCATTAAACACAGATAGACAGATTGCTGTAATTGGTAATGTTTTGTTAACTTGTGGGACTTATTACCACAAGACAATAGCTCAGTTTGCTTTTTTCGTATTGCCTGAATTATGCTGTAAACAGTCCGGGGAGACTTCGGGGGAAAATGCTGCTGAATGTACTGGGAGGTTGGCGAGCATCTGTGCAGAGCTTTCACCCTGGTTATGCCCATGGAGCTTACACTCACTCCAATTTCAGCCAGTTCTGCTGCTTCAAGCCCCACTTAAAAACCCACTTCTGCCATGCTAATGAGTTGGTCTTATGTACAAATTGTGCTCCCTCTTAATTATCTGAATGTCTCTGTGGGTTAGCCTGCCCAGTGAAGTTTCGAAGTCATGGACTCTCCTCCTTCACCACCTGGACATTATCTAATAGAATTACTTGGTTTTGCTCAAGTATAAAAGAATGATAAATAAAGCATGGCTGTAGCAGCCCAGCTTCCTATATATAGATATTTGGACAATGCCAGGTGTCTTGTTGCACAATTTTCTGATCCTGTTAGGTTATTCCATTTCTTAAGGGCAAAAAAATAA